TGAAGAAGAAAAAAAGTTTCTAATTCTCGTTGCTTTACTCAAATTGCTCCTTATGTTATGCAGGGCCCACTGGAAGAGCAGTTTCATAACTGAATTAGTGGCTACCCTGGGTAAATAAAACGTTATTATTATATTATTAAGTTTCATATCATGCAGCGGTTTTTAGCACGGCCTTATTCACCCCATAGGCAGGCAAAGGTTTTAAAAACGAAATTGCAACCTTCGGTTACTTTCAAAAATTCCGCGTTGATGTTCCAGATGTTTCATTGTGGCCCATTTGAGGAATAAGGACGGCTATGTGATTTATTTGTTTTGTGGTCTCGTGGGATGTTGGTGTAATGGGACGACCCTAAACAATCATTAATTACCAGTGACCAGACAAGGTTGTCTTCGGAGCACTAAAATGTTTTCCCTTGGGGGGGGGGGGGGGGGGGGGGGGTAATGGACCTACATTCTGGGGGTGGATCTTGAGCCTTAATTAGGGTAATAATTATGTGGGTGAATGAATTAGGGTATTTATTTCGGGTCGCTACCCAAGACAATTTTTGCCACTAGGTGCTGCACACACCAAGCCTGAGTGGCACCCAAATGATTTCTTACTTCGAATTTTTTGGTCTTACTTTTTTGACTGATTTACACAAGCTTATCTAGCTTTTAAAGGGGTCTTAAAAACATTCATTTCATGATGTAATCAAGTTAATATAAATCATGTTGATTAATGTACTATTACCAGTCTCTTTTTTATGTAAAAGATTTTATCATCGTTTTAGGTGGTTTTGAATAAATTGAACTTGAACTTGAACTTGAACTTTAACTTCCATCGGCATCTGTAAAACGATTTTGTTTTGTTTTGTGATCTCGCGTGCGGAGCTAGCTAGCTAGCTGCGAGCAACACAGAGGTTAGGCAAGCGCGCACGTCCTGCGCGCGCGCGTTACGTACGTACATTTCTTTTCAACATGGCGGCCGCAGAATTTGCTACTCGAGAAGGTAAGATTTCAAAAATCATTTTGGAAAGAATTTACAGTCTTTATCAGGCATTTGGCGTCTTATATAAGAGGAGTGAAAGTATTAGCTTATATATCTGATTGTTTTCCATGGTTTTATTGAGAGAGTTGATACACAATGACATTGGGCCGAAACAAGAGGTCGATGATTGCGTTGTTGATGTGTGTTGATGGTGGTTTGCAGCACAAGCCCATAGACTTTGTACGTGGTTAATTGTGCATGCTGTGTGCACGGTCGGTGCACTGAAATTTGCGTGAATTTTGTGAAGAGTGGAGAATGAATTGAATTGAATCACTTGAAAAGCTCAGTGAGAGAAATTGATGAATTGCCTATAAAATTTTAGTGTTGGTAATGTCTTCTGTAGTGTAGCAAGTATCAGTGAGAGTGTATGATGATCGGTGTCCTAAGTTGGTGCACATTAATTAAAAGAATTGCGATGAGCTGAGAATGTCATTCGTGGGATAGCTTGCTGTCGATGGCCGATGGGCTGTTAATTATTCAGTCATTAGTGACATTACTCATGGATTTTATGTTGCTCATTTATCCTCATTCTTAGTCTCTTACTTTATTTAACAATTAAAGGTCTTTTAGTACAGACTACAAAACGAAAAGCCAAATTTTTACTGAACAGCTGAAACTGAAGTGAAAGTAAAAAATCAATCGACAAAGAATTGCAGAGATATTGTGATCTCAAAATTCAATATTGTGCTTTGCGTTTGTATTTGAGCTTCGCTGCCATTTGCTTTTTTGAAAAAAATAAATCAGCTGTTTAGTAGCTCTCATGGAGTCATGCACAAAGTTAGAACTTACTTTTTTTTTAAATTACTTTCTTATCATCTACAGCGCGTTATGATCTGGCATTTAGAGAAAGACCCTACCCTAGGTCTAAATCTCTTTTTACTCACAATTTTTATGAAAATGTTTAGGTCCATGTACCTGCTCTTGAAGATGAATTATTTCCAGACCCTTGTTTTTAACTCCATTGTTTTTGTTGAATTTGCTGATATTTTGTCCATAAGTTCACACCCAGTTCCAAAGTCAATCTTGCCACTACCTAATTCCTAGTTACTCTTTCCAAAGGTGGTATCAAATTTTTGAAAGCTTATTGAATTTTTTTGAGATGTGGTACTGCGCTGTGTGAAGTAAGGTCATGCGAGTACTAAATGTGGTTCCACCACGATACAGTACTTCGAGCAAGCAGCTGGGGGTTGTGATTTTTGTCTCAGAAAATCAACCATATCCGGGCAGAGAATTAGGCGAACTTAGCGAAAGACTTCTGAAACTGAATTTCGATTAAGAATGAGTCAAGATAGGGATTTTTTCAAATATGACCTGTCAAAGATGAATCTAGCTGTAGCCTGTAGATCTAGGCAGGAATGTCATGAGAATAATTTGTTATGAATTTCTGCCTATTGTCAATGTCTACAAATGTAACTGTACAAAAAAAACCAAGATAATTAGACCAGTATGAGGTCAAAAAGACGGTGTCACCACTCATCAAATGTGGGAGTGTCGTGGTCGAGTGGTTTAAGGCGCTTGACTGTAGATGCGAAGGTCGAGGGTTCGAATCCCGACACGGCACTAATATTCTTTGGCAAGATATTTACCTGCACTTGCTACTCTCCACCCAGATGTTAAATGGGTATCCGGTAGGATGCGAACGTTCATGTGGTTGGACGAGCAAGTGTGCGCCTGTAAAATGGCGACTGGCTGGAATGCTCCCCAGGGAGTGGAAAATGTGCACACATTGTGTGCGGGTAAGCCTGAATCCGATGACCGGGTTAATAATATATCTGTAAAGTGCTTAGGCACATCGTTCGATCGGTGTATTGAGCGCTATATAAAAAAACGGATTATTATTATTATTATTACAGAGGAATGTACAGAGTGACAATTTTTTGTTGTTAAAGGGATAGTTGAGTTAAATGTCGTTCCACTTCTCTTTTCTTGTCAGATTTCCAGCGGCAGATTGAGGAGTTGCAGACCCGCACCACATCACTTCGCGACCAAGCCAAGGATGAAGGGCCTGGTAAAGAGAACGAGAATGGAGAGAGGATAGGGTTTGGAGAGACGGGTCAATTTGACAATGAGATCTATGATGGCGGCAAGGCACATGGCAAATATGATGGCTACGTCTACTCAATTCCCACAAATGAAGCAGATGAGGTAGGCAGACTGGAAGGCAGGAACTTATAAATTATTGGTACAAAATGCCACATTATGTGACATATGGGCTTCAGCAACCCTGGAGGTTCATTGTGGAGGGGGGGGGGGGGGGGGGGGGTTAAACAGACCAAAGCATTTTGAAGGTTGAAAGTATGCATTTACATTGTTAGTTGTACATTTAGGTATTGATGTCATTTCCACTCTTAAAAATTGTCAAAATCTCCTTAAATTTTTTGTTGATTATCATTAAATGTTATTATTTATGAACTCCATCTGTCAAATTTTAAAGTAGTGGAGAATTATTATTATTGAATCTTTTTTGTTCAGTAAATTTATATGTCTAATCTAGTAGAAGGTTGCAGATTCTTAACTTGTCTGGTCTCATATGAAGAATTAAAGCTTATACTGTGGGCTTGAAACTCTGAAATATTGATTTGCAAAATTGTTTTCTTTAATTACAGGATGAAGATGACTACAGCTCAAGTAGCCTCATGCAGAAGAATTCCTACACAGCACCCTCATCGTTGTTTGCGGAAGCACAGAAAGCTGGAAAGGTAAGCAAAGATTAACTCCCTTAATATTCCCAAGCTTGAGGTACTGTTCTGAACAGTCAATTCATGATCTCATCATCTCATACGCCCCTAGAACGACATTATATGAGTGAAGTTCCTAAATTAGAGGAGAGAAAAGGGGTTTCAGAGTAGAACAGAGGTTTGATATTTAAAACTGCATGAGCAAAGTCAACCATAGTTAGACTTGCTCTCGACGTCATTGTTGATAATCATGTCTTCACGTGGTTCTTCAATAAATGTTATACCTTCATATGTATTTATACCTAGAGTATCTGTGTAATCTATATTGAATGCTGGCAACGAAGTAAAACTGTATAATCCGATCCCACAACACAACAATAGTATGCAATTCAATTTTGTTTTAAAGATTTAAAGGCATCGTTTAACAATGTTAAATTTGAGATACATGGCCCTACGTGTTATCAGTGTCTTTGTAATATTGAAGCCCTAAAGGAATTGTGCTTCAAAATGATCAAGAAGTACCTCAAAAAAGTAAAAACCTTTGAGTGACCGGTATGACCATACTCGTTTTCCACAATAGACTGTAGTGTTATGAAAACCGTTAGGAAAACACAAAATTTGATTTTGATTTCCAATCATGATGATCAGACAGGCGATCGGCTTGTAAATGTCATGGGATTCATGTATGCTCTAAAGAATTATAATTATGAAATGCAGCATGAGCTAAATCCAGGATTTTGTTTCAAAATCTGAGACAAAGTTACCCAATCCCTTTAAGTAATTTACATACAATGTTTCAATTTGATTGTTTACAGGACTATGACCCTATGGCCGAGCATCGCATACCTCGTATCATGGATAGAGAGGATGAATACAGAAGACTCCGACTCAGGCAGAAGATGTCTCCAGAGAGGAATGATCCATTTGCAGATGGTAGGTTTCACTTCTCCTCATTTCATCCAGTCTATTCTTATGTATTCAATTTTTATTCTACATTACAAGAACCGATGTTTCTTTGATATGTGCTTTTGTTTCTTTGTTTTATCATTAAGAGCATTTTGAAGATGGGTTAATTAATGTAAGTGATGTCTGATTATTTTATTTGGTTGTAAATAGGTGCAGTTTACTTTTGAGCACGCTTGATGCTGAATATCTGGGCAGCGTTTCACGAAATCGTCAAAAGTACAAGTTCACCTACATTCCATTGAAATGCGTGTATTAAGTTTAACACACGTTTCAATGGTATGTCGGTGAACTGGTACTTATGACGGTTTCATGAAACGCTACCCTGGTGTATTAGACTCTGAGAAAAAACGTTGCATGTTCAAGGATAAGCTTCTTGTTTTGTCCTTCTTTGAAAGGAGAGGACGGGTGTGAACATTTAACCCTGAAAATTGTATAGCTTCCTTCTCAAGACTTGAATTATCAGATGAGTTATCCCAGGTCACCGATGAAACATAAAGAAGCCATAAAAACATGTTTCAAATCAATGTCAATCGAAAGAGTAGATTGCACTTGTTTTCATTGAAATTATGCGAATAACATTTTTGTCTTGTGGGGTTGCATCGAGGGTAAATTGAACTAAGTCCTTCTCTGATTACGTACACATCCAGTAGAAAATCAAGTCTGTTGTCAAAGAGAAACCACAATTTGTATACTGTACTATCCACTCTATAATTGAAATCTATGTACCCATGTCTATGAATATGGATCCATTGTTTTGAAAGTTGGCATCAAAATGTGTAATGCAAAGTTAAGGAAGCTTATTCTTCACTGGTCAAGAAGAAGAAATCCTCAGTTAGACTTCCGAAAGGGAATTCCCCCGTGACACGCATTATGTTTATGTGTGTATCACATGATTATGGTTGTGATACCGCATACTAATATTGCTCTCTCACCTTTCTCCCAAACAGCACATCTCATTTCTGTCATCCGATGAATATACCAGGGGTACAGTGTAAAAAATAAAGAGTCTGCGGACATGGTTATGAGCACGCTGGCTTTTAGAAACTTAGCAGGATTCAAATTTTAAAAGTCGAATCATTGTAACGAAAGAAGGATGAATGCGTACCCAGTTTTGTAGGAATTTGTATAATTGCAGATGTTATAAGTGTCATGTTTGTCAGCAACTTTAAATGGGGGCAAGTCTGCTTTACGACTGTGATGATAAACTTGTAACTCTACTATTGACTTTAATTTACATTATTAATTCTCTGAATACATCCACCGTGTCCACCAATGAAAAGCAGCAAGTGCACTTGTACTGTCTTTTTAGAAACTTGTTTTACTACATTCAAATGAAATGATAGAATTTGTGAATTATGAGTAGTAGTCTCCTAAAGATACCCTGTATTTATTAAAAATTATCTGAACTTGTGTTACGGTTAGAGACTCGACAAGCCTGTGGCAATTGTAGCTATGTTTATGATCGATAGGCTCGGTGTATGTATACGTAGTGGATAAGACGTAGCTAAGCTACCGTGTGTACTAATGACTTACAAAAGATTGATTTCATTTAGCCTGTCATCGCCGTTGCGAAGCCATCGGAGGGTGAAAGAGCACGAGGCCTGACGCCAGAGTACGTATATAGGTTAACACCAGAGACCATCGTGCGAGTATTTCTTGGTATTGTGCACCTAAGATGAGAAATGGTTTCATCTATGTAGGTGCATATCAAGAAAGAGTCTCTGGAAGGGTATTTGGTATACAAGATATTGTTTGAATGTGAATGCTAGTTTTGGAATTGCTATTGGAACAGATGTGGGACATAGATGGTTGTTGGGTAGTTGTAACGTTTCATACATGTATGAGCTACAGTACATGTCAAATTCTTTGCAAGTAACAACAAAAATGTCATAGTACGTACAAAACTTCACAGGTTTTGGAATAAAAGATACAGAAAATATCACATACCTCTATGAATGCAAACATATCTGTATAAATCACCTACATTGACCTGGAAACAAAATGATTATAACATCTTCCTTATTAAGCTGTTAACCAAAAGATGATTTTCATGTGACATATGACTGTAATTGTATCACTGTAAACATCATCATACACAATGTTTGTATCAGCGCTAGTTATCTTTCATCACAGCAGAGAGCTACTTAGCAACCTACCCATGTCCTATGTCTGTTCCTCCTTGTTTTTATCTGATATCACTTTCAATAATATACATGTACCAACCACAGCTGAAGTGCAGGAGCTTGAAAAGGATTGCAAAATTCAATCTTGAGCAGACAGAATAAACCTGGAAAGTTTAATTTCTGAGGAAAAGGACATTTTCCTAGATATAGAAGTGGTTTCAAAGGACAGGTTCTCCCTGTCTGTGTATAGTGTGAGTTATGCAGGGTGATGTAAAGGAACTATGAAATCAAAGGGATTAGTGGGTTGTTACTCCAAGAATTGCCTGCTGCCCTCTCCCACATCACCGCTGTGCTCGCTCTATACGTGGTATTTTAGGAGCTGTTGAAACCCTCTATTATCCACACGCTGGAAGAAGAGAAATTGCTTATTAGATTTTATTGGGTGTCTTTACCCTTTGAATAAGTACTGGTAGCCAGAGATAGGTTTTGATGGAACCCACTGGAAATTTGTATTAATTGAAAACTATAATTATTTCGAAGACGAGAAAGGATGCACAATCCAGCATGTGATAAAGGACACACCCTGAATGTGTTCTTCTAACAAAATCAATAGCCTTCTTGGCAAAATCCATGATATGGCGTGAATCATCAATTTTCAATTCACATTATTCATTTATTCTCGAATCAAACAGAGAGTGATGTTAGAGAAATGTTCCATTGTGGATCTTAGATGCACTTGAGCTGTGGTTGAACTCTTAGAAAATACAGCATCTTTATGTTGTGATAGATATGCAGAGTTAGCAAAGATTTTGTATTTGATGCATGGGTGAAGTAATCATTGCAACTTTGAGCCATAACTTTCACATTCTCTAAGCTATGTGACTCTGCTTTGGCCATGAAGTTGCAGAAGTGAGAATTCCCAACGTCAAAAAATCTTTGCTGACTCATCATTTCGTCCCATCAATTACATGTATACATACAAGTTGCCTGACCTATTAGTAGTCCCCTTTTCCTAACAAGATGTTTTCTGTTTCTTCTCTTTGTTTCCCTTCTCGCTTGGCTTGTTTTACATCTTTTCTCCTCCTCCTCCTCCTCCTCCTCTCTGACCCCTCTCTATCCATTTCCTTGTTTCCATGATGACCATTTCCATGTACTCACTACAGGCGGCAAGACACCAGACCCGAGCCTCGCCACCTACGCCGAGATCAGAAAACAGCAGATGATGAGCAAAGAAGAGGTGAGTTGTATGAAGACTTCATGAAAGATCGCAAAAAAGAGATCACTTCAGAACAATGGCCAAGATAAATCATACTCTTCTAGAGGCTATGGAATATGGAATAAATAAAACATTGAAAAGAAAAAAAAAATATGGGAGTAGTGTTGGTAAAAAAAATATGAAAAAAAATTGACATTGCTATGAAAAAATTTCACCAATGCCATACCAAATCCAAACAACACTGCCGTAAACATATATATTTTTTTTAAAATGGTCCACTATCCTAGCTTTAGGTGAGTCCTTTTGATGACATTATTCTGCTTTTTTTGGGGGGGGGGGGGTGGGAGATATATAGATTGGCAATTGGGAATGCCCTACTGAACATAGGGATAAATAATAATATTCAGTTCTTGCATAGCGCATATCGCATGATATAATGTCCCTACCAGGGATGTCTGTTCTTTATAGCTTTGGTCTGATTTCCTTTAATGTAATCCTTTAACCCTTACTGTACTGGGCTATTTCGAGCACTCTCTGACTGGGGGGGGGGGGGGGGGGGGCCCCCCCTATGATCTCGGCCGTCGAATGTCCGATGAACGCGAAAATTTGCATGTTTGTAGATATTTACGTAAGGAACAAGATGGTATAATTAGTTTTTTCCTAATATGCAAATTTTTGTCATTATAGCCTAATTAATTATGCAAAATGCTAATTTTATGCATTTTACAGAAAACTCTACATATTGTCCGTAGACTTGTGAAGAATCTTGAAAATGTATTGAATAAATGTTTCCTTCATCTCAAATTCATGAGGTTTCATTATTTTTATGATATTTGAAAATGCATAGGTTAATTTGCATAAATTATGAATATGCAAATTACGCATTCATTAATTTAAAATCTGGAAATATACAGGGAACTAGAATCATTACAAAAATTGTCAGACTCCACTTTTGTAATGTTGAAACTCATTATTCATATGAAACTTCTTTTCTAACACAAAATAGTTATTTGATGTAATTAATAATGATAATTTATGCAAATTTGATGCGATTTTCAACTATTTATTTTCTTATGTATTTCATTGTTTTTTTTTCTTATTATATCTATTGTTTTATTTCTAATGTATTATTTTGTTCTGAAATACATCTAGTTACTTTGAGAAAGCAAATTGATATTAATTCATATCTTCACATTTCTGCTTGTACATGAATATATGCAATTATAGCACTTTTTTGATGACATGCGCATACTAATTGTTATGTAACACCTTACAGGTATATCCGATTTCGACGAAAATGGTATCAAAATGTGCGTAAGACTTGAGGGAAAAAAGTCATGAAACGACAATTCGAAATTTAGAGCGGTTGCGGCGCGATCTCCGAAAATGTCGAGGGGGGGGGCCTCCCAGGCGCCCCCCCCCCCCCCAGTACAGTAAGGGTTAATGGTTAATTGCCTTCGGTGACCTATGATGACATGTACTTCGTGTGGGTGTACTACCTGTTATTTTCCTTCTCTTTGACCACAGGCTGCTTACAAACATCAGATACAGGAGAAAAGCAAGGCAGGTGAACTCTTCATCCACAAAGAAGTCGAGAAACCTAAACCAGGTCAGATCAAAACCCTCCTTACAATTGTTTGTTTTAACACTTATCGATGTAGTTCAGTGAAACCTGTCTATAAAAACCACCCAAGGGAGACAAGAAAAGATGTCTGTATAGGCAGGTGGTCTTTATGTACAGGTTTCTTTAGTACATGTTTCAATAAGAAACTATATTCAAGGGAAACATAAAATGTGGTCTTTGTAGACAGGTGGTCTTTCTATACAGGTGGCCACTAAAGCATGTTTGACTGTAACATGTACCGGTAATGGCTAATGATTACATTTAGCCAGAGACAATATATACAGTTTACATTTCAATACAGAATTCAAGGATATTCTAAATTCCATCATAATTATATAAAATTCCTCTGAAAACAAACATGTACCATGGAATGTGAATGCACTTTCCAAAAAGATACAAAAACATACAAAAACAAACATCAATAGTTCTGTTTTTTCTTATTACGTTATGAAAACCAAACATGAATGGCATGATATTATAGTTCAACAGGCTTTTGTAGATGAATTAAAGTCAGTTGTCTCTTTCATTTGACGTGTGGATTGACATTTTTGTGGTTATTTTATTACTGAGGGAAATGTACCTTACGTGGTAATGTAATGTTTCTCCAGCAATGTACCTGCATATGCTTTGCTGTTAGAGCTAGAAATGTATCTTAAATCTGTTGGCATACATGTATACGGTATGCAAGACTAGAAAAATGAGTAAAAATGTTACTTAGCATATGACGTGAACTGGTAATGTTATATTTTTGTTGTTGTTGTTGTTGTGATGATGACCGTACTTTATTGTCTTGCATACAAAGACAACAAACAAAGAGCTTGTGTGTATCGAGATCTCAATAGAACCGTGATCTTTACTAACAATGTGGTTTTGTTTGATTTGCTGTTTATAGCTAAGAGAAGCAGATGGGACATGGCAAGGGGAGGTGGTGAGGGTGCAGAGACTCCTAGCACCACACCAGGCATTGCACCAAGGAAGAAAGCTAGTACATGGGACCAAGCTGAGGTAAGTCCTTAATGTAGGGTTCCTTTAATCATAAGAGCTGTGAAAATGATGAGGGAATTGGATATAACTTCTATGACTGAATGTTTTAGTGGTGGTTATTTTTACTGACTGCTAAGAAAGCATAAATGCTTGTTAGTAAGCAACCAGAGGACTGACGGATTTAGGTCCTCTACGAGGGACCTGGTAATGAGGATTAATGCCTTACCAAAGAGTACTAGGGCATCAAGGTTTCGAACCTGGGGTCACCGTATTACGAGATCACTGCTCTACCAACTATCGTATGAGTTAGTTGAATACCGTTATCCTGAAAGTTCTGTGAAATAAGTATAACAAAAAGTATTCATGGAAAGACCACACGAAAGATAAATGAAGGTGAACCATTACCTTGTTCAATCTAATTGTTATAATAAGAAGGAACAGTGGAACGTTATACCAAGTTGAACCATACCCTTGTTCGATGTAACTGGTAATAATTGGAATTTCTAGAACTATCATAAATGGACAGTATCCTCTTTGTGATTGAGTTATACAGTGAAACCTGTCTCTTAAGACCACCCAAGGGAGACAAGAAAGGTAGTCTTTACAGAGATGCCAACTGTTTCGTTTTTGCTGTATTTGTTCCATTTTTTCGCTATGAATACGGCAGTACGTTTTTTGTATGTTTTGTTAAGTTTTTTTTTTTTTTTTTTGGTGACGTTTTTCTTAATTTCTGATCATGGGCTTTGTGTCGTAAGTGTTATATACACCTACGTCTTCAAACGATGCAATCAGGATGGTGATACGGGCCCCAAACTGCGCACATTGCGAATAATCCATGTGTAATGTATGCACGTCGCGCTCCGATCCAGGTACGTATACGTGGTACTGCCGGTTTTTTTAAGCTGCTGGGTTGGGCGATATGTTACGGTGAGAGATGTTTTCAAAAATACTGTTTTTTGTCCCAAAATACTGTTTTTTGCTCGTAAGAATACTTTTTTTTGTTGAAGAAGGTTGGCATCTCTGTCTTTAGGTACAGTTGGTCACTAGAGCAGGTTTGATTGTATGTAGATTTCTCTACTGAATATGTTCAATTAAATTGCTCCATGTATTACTCTATCTACAGTCTATGACTCCATCCATCAGTCGTTGGGACGAGACCCCCGGTAGACACAAGGGAGGGGAAACTCCAGGAGCCGCTACACCTGGAGCCGCCACACCTGGTGCCACGCCCTCTGCCAGCACCCGTATTTGGGAGGCCACACCCGGCCATGTCACTCCCGGTCACGTCACTCCGGGGCATGCTACACCGGGCCATGTCACGCCCGGTCATGCAACCCCCGGTAGGGCCACACCCAGTGCAAGGAGAAACAGATGGGATGAAACTCCAAGGACAGAAAGAGGTGAGTTCCTTAGTTTTGTTTTTTTAGGGAGGGACTCGTGAAGAGTGATGAATTTTGTTTTAAAGGGATTGATATTGTTCGAGTTCTTCATACATTTTTCTTGTAGATATGATTGATAACCGACTATGTTTAACTTTGATGGAAAACAGAAATAAATGATCATAACTATTTATCGAAAGCCCATCAACATAGGTCAGGTGAAGTAAATCAGTATTTTTAAAGGACTGAAAGCGGCAAATTAGAGCAGAATATTTTTTTAGACCCTGAACACTGCTAAATAATGCTTTACTAGGATACATTTATAATGTAATGCAGAACACATCAAGATTCACTTTTTCAAGAGTTACATGTCGTATCAAAAGGGATTTAAGTGATAGATATTTTATTTATTTATTTATTTATTTCTAATCTTTTGTCAGGGTAGCCCATTCACCAATAATAATAGTGGTCTTCCATGGGGCCTTCATTATACATGAACATATTTACATCAAAAACGCAAAACGTTCACATTCATATTTAGTTGTAGAAATTCACTCGATGCTTTCCATTTTGCTCTGTAGAAACCCCTGGCCATGGTAGTGGCTGGGCCGAGACACCACGTACAGACCGTGGAGGTGAGGGTGCCCCGTCTGAGACACCCACCCCAGCCAGCAAGCGCCGCTCACGATGGGACGAGACCCCGGCCGGTAGCGGGACACCGTCGGCTACCCCTATGATGCAGAATGGGATCACCCCTGTAGGCTCCAAGGCAGCCATCATGAACACACCAACACCGTCAGGTCAGTTAATAAAAATAGTAATAATAAAATAATAATAATAAATACTTATAAAATGCACTTATCTAATAACTTACTCAATGCACTATACATAACAAAATACACAAATCTCTCTCCAAAATTTAACAACCTAATATAGTCAAACCTGTCCATAGCGACCACCAAGGGAAACACAAAAAGTGGCCTTTGTAGACGGGTGCCTTTAGTACATGTTTCAATGATAAACCAGTTTCCATGGAAACAACAAATGTGGCCTTTGTAGACAGGTGGTCACTAAAGCAGGTTTGACAGTACTTTGGCCCGTTTTATAAACAGTTGCGATTTATTGGTGATCAATGTCAATCGCAACTATGTACAAAGGAGATAGGAGACTGTAAACTTGCGATTGATTGGCGTTCGCAACTTTTTATAAGACGGTGCCATTGTCTTAACTAAAATATAATGATATTCATGATAAACATGATCAATGTGTGGTAATACATATTTAAGTCTCTTAACTTAAATGCATATTTCTATTTTCATTGTTACATAATGTCATTTCAGTTAAACTTGTATTTCCTTCTGCTTAAAGGGATCGTTTAACAATGTTAAATATGAGATACACGGCCATACGTGTTATCAGTGTCTGTGATATGGTGTAATATTGAAGCCCTAAAAAAATTGCGCTTCAAAATGATCAAGAAGTGCCTCAAAAAAGTAAAAAATCTTTGAGTGACCGGTTTTACCATACTCGTTTTCCCCAATAGACTGTATTGTTATGAAAACCGTCAGGCGAACGGTTTTCAAAATGTGTAATTCCAATCATAAATATCTTGATAATCAGAGAGGCGATCGGCTTGTGAAAGTCATGGGGTTCCTGACTGACCTAAAGGTTTATAATTATCATTGCATCATGAGCTAAATCCAGAATTTTATTTCAGAATCTGAGACAAAGTTACCGGATCCCTTTAAAACTGAAGGCCATTATCGTTGTAATCAGTCATTTTTAGTAATAGTCATATGTCTCTTTATGTTTGTTGTGTAGCTCTCCGCATCATGACTCCCGAGCAGTTGCAAGCTTGGCGTTGGGAGAAGGAGATTGACGAGAGGAACCGACCTCTCTCTGACGATGAACTTGATACGCTCTTCCCTGAAGGATACAAAGTAAGTTGAAATTTGCAGAAGCATTTTCAGTGATATTTCCTCTTCTGCCAGTGGTATAATGTTGTAATGAAGGCCACTAGTCCCTTTGACTGATGTTCTATGGAACATTGGAGCTAAAGTGTTTCTGTCCCTTCTAATCATGATTATACATTGAATGACATAGTGAAATGTACTAGCGAAAATATTGTGTATTGAAGATATTTATTGTTAAGGAAAGGACAGTTCTTACATTCAAACATGCACCAGAATCTGCCATAGTGACCAAGTGAAATGTACTAGAGAAAATGTTGTGTAATAATAATAATAATAATAACTTTTATTTACCCAGGGTAGCCACTTCAGTTATGAAACTGTTCTTCCAGCGGGCCCTGCATAACATAATATGTTATTACTACCCTTCTCCAATCTAATATGCTGAGCGCCTAGCTAGAAGGCAGAAGGTCCAATTATTACAAGTCTTTGGTATGACTTGGCCGGGGTTCGAACCCACGACCTCCCGTTCATGAGGCGGGCGCTCTAACGACTCAGCCACCATGCCCGGTTAATTGTATTGTATTAGATTGTTCTAATATGTTTAGAAAAGGAAAGCACACACATTCAAACGTGTGCCAGAATCTGCTGTTACCAAATATTTTATCCTTGTAAAACATGTCATCATTCTAAACATACACTGGTCCATGTAATTACAGTCAGTGCTGTAATTATTAAAAGATTACGCCTTATGAATATCTCATATTACACATTGTTATGTGTAATGGTTGGTTAATTGATTCAGACACAAATTCAAAACAAGTGAAGAGCATCTCATTGAACCCCTTGCTTTTCAAAACAGTGTCCTTCTTCTCACCCCTCTCTGCACAGGTATTGACCCCGCCCGCTGGTTACGTACCCATCCGCACTCCCGCCCGTAAGCTGACGGCGACGCCCACCCCCATGGGTGGCCTGAGCGGGTTCAGCATGCAGCAGGACGGAGGTCTTGTGGATGCAGGGTTGGCCCAACCACCCGGTAACCTACCCGTCCTCAAACCAGATGATACGCAGTACTTTGGCAAGCTACTGGTGAGTATTGACTGAACTTGTGAACATGTTCTGTTGATTTAGCATCTACTTGTACTTTGAGGTAATAGATTTTGGTTTCATTCCTGCCTAATCAGAAGGATTGGCAGAAGTCATTGCTGTATGTAGAATGTAAAATGTCCTTGTTCTTAGATGAATGTTAGAAAACAGTAGTAGAGCAACATCAGGACCTTACATGAAGTTCCTGTTTGTAGGGGAGCTACACCCTATGCAAGAAAAGAGACAGTTGGAAAGTTGAAAACTTTTGTGAAAAGCACTTGCATCTATTTCTAATTCTTTTTACATACTCCTTTCTAATATAAGGTTTAAAAAAAATATACGTAATGATGTGAAGATATCTGTAGTTCCTTTCTATGTGCCATTATGATCAATTGGTTCCTCTCTTGAGCTTTGTAGTTCCATACTTCTGATGAATGGTGTATTGTAATTTCAATCTGTCTGTCTTTCACAGAATGATGTTGATGAGAGCACCCTTAGCCCTGAAGAAGCCAAGGAAAGACGCATCATGAAGCTCCTCCTTAAGATCAAGAACGGCACCCCACCCATGAGGAAGGCTGCCCTTAGACAGATCACAGACAAGGCCAGGGACTTTGGCGCCGGACCTCTCTTCAACCAGATCCTACCTCTCCTCATGTCACCGACCCTGGAGGACCAAGAGCGCCATCTGTTGGTGAAGGTCATTGATCGTATCCTCTACAAGCTGGATGACCTCGTCAGGCCCTATGTTCACAAGGTAAGGTTCTTTAATTATGATGTAATGCAAGATGATTAAGAATGCAATATAGTGGCATTCTTTTTAGAGAAAGATATCAAGAGACTTATATTCTAATATGATTTGTTGGTTTTCTTGCCAATTTAAAGAATTGTCATGGTGCACGATGTTTTCAAATTTGATACTAGTGTCCTTTTAGTTTATACAAAGCTACATTCAGTCCTTACAACATAAAACAGAAGCTTGAACTAGATTGTAATCTCCCACCGGAAGGAGCAGGCAGGGCTGAAACCCCAAGTGCAAAGAAAGGTTTTCATCAGAGTATTCGACATAATGTACATCAGGCCTTAAATTTCAATATTTTTAGGGCATGACCACTTTTCTGTAGGGCACATTCCTATATTACAGCACAAATAGGAAGAATTAGAAAGGGCACAAAAAATCTCCAAGGCCAATGAGAGGGGCATTGAGGCCAATCAAAGGGGCATTGAGGCCAATCAAAGGGGCATCTAAGGCCATGGCCTTGGTGGCCTTGCATTAATTTAAGCCCTGGTACATTATCATCCTTCATATATACGTTCCTTAAAAAGTTAAGATTCTTTGAAGCCTAACCTGAAGACAGTGCTGTTTTCGAAAGGTTACAATATGTGAATGTAATTATAAATTTTGTTGTACTTCTTTCTAACTTTCTTAATCCACCTCTGAATAGTTTTACGAGATAGATGGCGCAATATAAGTGCATTACATTATTATTATTACGATGCAGGGCAGTTAATTAAGAGAATATTCTTATACCTTGCAGATCCTTGTTGTGATTGAGCCCCTGCTGATCGACGAGGACTACTACGCCCGCGTTGAAGGTCGTGAGATCATCTCCAACCTGGCCAAGGCCGCTGGTCTGGCCACCATGATCTCTACCATGCGTCCCGACATTGACAACCTGGACGAGTACGTCCGTAACACCACGGCCCGTGCCTTCGCCGTCGTCGCATCTGCTCTGGGTATTCCCTCCCTGCTGCCTTTCCTCAAGGCTGTGTGCCGCAGCAAGAAGTCCTGGCAGGCTCGTCATACCGGTATTAAGATCGTCCAGCAGATCGCTATCCTGATGGGATGTGCTATCTTGCCTCATCTGAGGAACTTGGTGGAAATCATCGAGCATGGTGAGTTTTCAGTCTTACATGTATGTTAAACTTTCCATGTATATATCATCTTAATTACCAAATTATGAACAGAACTATGATGGATTTTATTCGAAATGTAGAGGTTTAATTTAGGAATTCACATTCCTCTACACTCATGGATTAAAAAGAAGATCAGTTTGAAAGCTGCACCTTCTTTAATGGTGTAGATAGCAGTATGTAAAGCAAATGTTATTTACTAGTTTGGCCGGGAGGGATTAGACCACAAAGCGTGGTCAATGATGGGTGGCTATCTCATCAACTCAGCTCTCAATTAACATAAGAAAAAGAGGATCATGGGGGACCAACAGGCACCGATTGGGGAATTTTTCTCTATAGAGGGAGCAAGTAGCTACAAGTAGGACAGTGGGGTTTTAATTCATCTTACTCTCTTCCATTCTTATCTAGGTTTGGTTGATGAGCAGCAGAAGGTGCGTACTATCACTGCCCTGGCCCTGGCAGCCTTGGCTGAGGCAGCTACACCCTACGGTATCGAGTCCTTTGACAGTGTCCTCAAGCCTCTCTGGAAGGGTATCAGGCAACACAGAGGAAAGGTGAGCAACAGCAACTTTAGTCGTAATGCTAAATGTATTACTCATTGCGGATATAGTATCGAAAATAATATCGCTAGTAATATTCGTTTGTCTCGCAATGTATGGTCAACAAGGGATCTAAAAGATCACGACATCTTGTGCATGTTGCAGCGGCTCACGAAACATCATGATCTTTTAGATCCCTTGTTGACCATACATTGCGAGACAAACAAATATTACTAGCGATATTATTTTCAAAACTTTATTCTTGTTCACACATTAGGTGGTAAACGACCTCAACTGTGACATATGAGAACAAACCTCTAGTGGGATTGTTTGGGAGGCTGAATGGGAACAAGAATTATATACCTCTGCTAACATGGTGTGAAAGGCATTACGTTTAAATGTTATCCTTCCTTGACAACTATCAAAGTCTAGAGACCCAATGAAGGAGTACCAACCAAAATTTGGCAAGACTTTAACCCCAAAGGCTGGGTCATTTTGAAAGGTCTGTCAGCCAGAAAGGGGTGGACTAAATATGTTGTGACTCTCTCGTGGCATAGAATGCAATGAAGAGTTATTGTGAAATATATGTATATTTATCTAGTACGTTCTTTGCATCATTAATTGATTTTAATCCCAACCTCTTCTCCAGGGTCTTGCTGATGGACCCTGAGTATGCTAACTGTGTGTACTATACCAAGGAAGTGATGTTGATTTGCACTGAATTTGAATTTGATGAAATGTATTTTCAAAAGACGTGTAATCTTCAGCCTTGTTTAAGTTATCACTTGAATTATTAACTCATTTCAAATGCCAACCTCTTCTCCAGGGTCTTGCCGCTTTCCTAAAAGCCATTGGCTACTTGATCCCGTTGATGGACCCTGAGTATGCTAACTACTACACCAAGGAAGTGATGTTGATCCTCATCCGTGAGTTCCAGTCTCCTGATGAAGAAATGAAGAAGATTGTCTTGAAGGTAAACCAAGTTTCAGTTCAGTTGTTCTAGTGTACATTCTTCAGTTTCATGCAATAATAATGATTTATAATTGTCTTGGGCAGATCGTATATTCGCCCTGGTTTTTATCTTGTCTAAGACACAGTGTCCGCATGACGTTTTTGAATGGGTTTCAGGTTAGGTTGGGAGTTGAGGATTCAGGGTTAGGGTTAGGTATAGTGATGGGTGCAGAGTGGAAATTTGGAATATGGTTAGTATAAGAAGCTGATCATGAAGCAATGTGCTGTACAACCATAAAGAGATATTTGTAAACATGTACCTCATTGGGATGAATGTGATAACTTAATATTCAACAAAGTTATTTTACAGTGAATAAGTGATCATTTAACACACATACAACATTTCAACTGGAAACTCTCTTTGACTTAGATGAATTTTAAATGGGGATATTACTTATGCAAAGATTTGTTTCAAAGAGATAAAAAGGGCAAATATTTTAAATTTTATGGTGCATCGATGTTGATGATTTCTGTCAAACTGGACTTGCACGAGGTTGATACTCTCATGGACTTTTGCCAGTGTTATTGATATTGCCCAATTCTATGAGACTTAATTATCGTTGTAACATATTGCTATTCCTGTGTAGGTTGTGAAGCAGTGTTGTGCAACTGATGGTGTAGAGGAGGATTACATCAGAGATGAAGTCCTGCCGTCTTTCTTCAAGCATTTCTGGCAGCACAGAATGGCCCTCGATAGGCGCAACTACAGACAGGTAAGTCCTTACTTATTCTTTAAATTGTTAATTCTTTTCAACTTTGATTTTCTTGTTTTCCACATAATCACATGATGGAAGCTGTATTGTAAGGCTCTGATATTAAATTATATATGATGGAATAGCAGTTTGTTTTATAGGCTATTTTACAAATTGCTGCCTTTTCCATGTTTTTTGGTTAAAGTGAACTAAATGACTAAATGATGTATTTTCATCCTGTTTATGACTGCATTACCTAGGACTAAGTGACTTAAGTTTAATTGGTCTGTGTATAGGATGACACTAGTTCTCTAAGTTTTACGACATCTTTGATTTACCACCTGCTCAGATACACAACTCTTCCTGTCTACATTTAGCCGTCTTTATAATGTAGGACTCACAGCATTGTTATAGTTATTCCACTGCCACTGAAGGTGTTGCTGGAGGATTTTTTTTATAGTATTTGTTATCTTGATGAAGTTTACATCTATGTTTATCTTCTCATAGCTTGTGGACACCACAGTCGAGATCGCCAACAAGGTCGGAGCATCCGAGATCATCGTCAGGGTGGTCGACGACCTCAAGGATGAAGCGGAACAGTACAGGAAGATGGTGATGGAGACCATTGAGAAGGTGATGGATAACCTGGGTGCATCGGACATCGATTCCAGGCTGGAGGAGCAGCTCATTGACGGTATCCTGTATGCCTTCCAAGAACAAACCACAGAGGTGAATAGGGTTTAGGACCAGGGGGGGGGGGGGGGGGGGGGGGGTGTTTCACAAAGATCCAAGTCAAACTTATCTCTTAGTTGGACCTAAAAATTGTGGAGAGCCATTTTTAGCCTTAAAATAAAATATATTCAAAAGCAAAAATTCAAGTATTTTAGACTTTTCATAAATTCCACATCTCCTTGATAATAGAAAATATGAATGATTTGAATCAACGTTTTACGACTTTCCATAATTGTTAAGTCCATCTTAGAGATAAGTTCAAACTTTGTGAACCCCCCCCCCCCAGATTAGGGCAAGTAATTTGAAAGGATTGATCAAATATGCATACCTATCTAGCACTGTTTCAATGTTTAGTTTAGCTCATAATGTTATGCTTTGTAGCAAATAGAGTTAAAAAAATAAATGATTTTAGATTTAGATTTACCTGCCTCATACCTGCGGTACTATCCTATGGCATCTCAATAACAAAGCATTATTATATACCTCTGACATATCAGGTTCATGCACTAACTAGTAATGTATTTCCTCCCATTATCAGGATTCTGTAATGCTGAATGGCTTTGGTACCATCGTAAATGCCCTTGGCAAGCGAGTGAAGGCCTACCTGCCTCAGATCTGTGGTACTATCCTGTGGCGTCTCAATAACAAGGCAGCCAAGGTCAGACAGCAGGCTGCTGACCTCATCTCAAGGATCGCTATCGTCATGAGAACTTGTCAAGAGGTAAGCTTTCTTTCTTATTTTTCGATCAGGTCTGAGTAGATCTTTATTTGGTTGAAGAGCAGGAGACGCGATAGCTCAGTGGTAGAGCAGTGGTCTCATAACCAGGCGGTCCAGAGTTCGAACGCTAGTCGATTCGCTAGTAAGGCATTGGTCCTCATTACCAAGTCCCTTGTAGAGGACTTAAAGCTGTTGGTCCTCTGAATGCTTACTTACTGTCAGCTAAAATAAACAAACAATCAATAAAGTGATAAATTTGTATATCAACCATTTACATTGCTATAGTTTTGAGAACATGTCAAGAGGAAAGAGCTGTTCTCTCATTTTATCAGGCCTTAGTATATATATTTGGGGTTGACATGTTAGAGATGTTGGTCAGCAACCATTCACTCTGTAATAGTTTTGAGAACGTGCCAATAGGTTTTCTTCAATTTTTTATGTGATTCTAGAAGACTTCACTCTCTTTGAGTTCCCTTGAGTTAGATTACTCACCTTTATGATAATATTTTCTGAGAGATAAGACCCCACCGACAACAAACATTCCTCCCCCCCCCTTCCTGGCTGATTATGCATTCATAGTCGCTACAAAGATTTCTTTGTAACGCAATTTCGTAGAGTAGGCTTATTGTGCCTATGTTTTATATTCTCAGTGACAGTAGGTTGCCATAGGGTAGCCTCTTCAGAGATTTCAAGGGCATTGTCAATGTCATACTCTCAAGGGGACTGCCACACTTACAAATTCCTCTGATGTTGTTCATTTTGTTTTTCGGGAGAAACTGATGGGTCATTTGGGTGTAGTGCTGTATAAGAACCTGGAAACATTGTATGAAGCGCATTATAAATGTAATGTATTATTATTATTATTATTATTAGGAAGCATCTTAGAAGTTCTCAAGGGAATCGTCAATGTCACATTCTCAAAGCCATTATCAATGTCACACCTTCAAAATTCTTTGATTTCTATTTTTTGGTTAACAGGAGAAGCTGATGGGTCATTTGGGTGTGGTACTGTATGAATACCTGGGAGAAGAATACCCTGAGGTTCTGGGTAGCATCCTGGGAGCTCTGAAGGGCATTGTCAATGTCATCGGTATGCACAAGATGACCCCTCCCATCAAAGATCTTCTGCCTCGTCTTACACCAATCCTCAAGAATAGGTAAGTGCCTTGAGTGGCTTCTCCTTTATTAAATTACTTGTAGTCGTGACTAGTCTTTACAGAAATTGGCAATTACACAAATGAACAGTTCTTTTGGTGGGAGTTTTACGTTTGATAGAAGTAAACAGAGAAGAGAGAGGGAAACGAGACATAAAGAGTACCTATCAGAGATGCTTTTATTATAGTATCCTGAATGTGGAAACTGTTTTAAGTAGGAAGATTTATGGAAGATGTTTCATATTTAATAACAACAAAAATATAAAAAAATGGAAGTTGCAAGTTGTCAAGCTTCTTTTGACACTCGTATACATGCTGTAAGTCTCTAGAGGGGATCTCAGTCTCAGTCATTCAAAGTCTCCAGAGGGGATCTCAGTCTCAGTCATTCAATTGGCCTCATGTTGACTAATTGTACATGTACCTCATTACTATCTTTTACAAGTGGACATTGCCATCTTAAAGTCTTTGGCTCTAAATTTGCTGATTTTACCACTTTCAAGAAATATTGATATCTCCTGCAATGCTGTTGCCGAATCTCCATGACCTAATATAGCTTCTCCCCCTTTCTTCCTTTCTGTCTTCCCTTATTTCCAGGCATGAGAAGGTACAAGAGAACTGCATAGACCTTGTAGGACGTATCGCAGACCGTGGAGCTGAGTATGTGTCGGCCAGAGAGTGGATGAGGATATGTTTTGAGCTGCTAGATCTTCTCAAAGCTCATAAGAAGTCCATCCGGAGAGCTACAGTCAATACCTTTGGATACATCGCCAAGGCCATTGGGTAGGTCAAGTGTTTTTCTTTGTAATGATTTTTGGCAACAAGGACAAATTCATTCTGATGAGAGAGAGAAAACTTACAATTTGTGTAGAGGGAACATCCTTTTGGATGTGGTAAGTGGCACATGTAATTTTGTTCAAAGTTCTATTGCTGAAATGTGTTTAAAAAGAGATATGAAAAAGATGCCTCTGTAACATTTTGATCATTTAAAACGCAAGGCAAGTTCAGTGATCATCAGCAGTATTACAAACTTTTTTGTGTGAATGTGTTTGAATGAAATTAGTACTACAGTCCATGGATATCTTCAGATTTCTTGCAAATAACTGTATTTATATAAAATGTTCAGACCTAGCTTTTAAGCTCTTTGTCAGAACAGTGGCAGACCTGCCAACCAGTACGATTTAGTTGTATTTAGTACGATTTTTAGAAGCAAATACGACAGTACGATTTTCGTACAACTTTTGTCTGTAAAATACAACTTTTGGGACTAAAGAATACAGTTTTTTAACTCCAGAGGTTGGCAGGTCTGCAGTGGTGCTCTTGAATACCTCCTCACCCCCCCCCCCCCCAAAAAAAAAGAGAGGAAAAAATGGGAGGCTTGGAATCTTGGTGTAGTCTCTAAATGAAGAATTCACGGTAAGTGTATTAGCAATCCCTCAAATACTTTTAGCTCATCGTAATGAGTAATTCCTATTATTACACCAATCAATTATCAAGATCAGCTTTAAATATCATCACCATATCTTATTCTCATCCTTTCCAGACCTCATGATGTGTTGGCCACCCTGCTCAACAACCTCAAGGTCCAGGAGCGTCAGAACCGTGTCTGTACCACCGTAGCTATCGCCATCGTAGCCGAGACCTGCTCACCGTTCACTGTCCTCCCAGCACTCATGAACGAGTACAGGGTGCCGGAGCTCAATGTACAGAATGGTGTACTCAAGTCACTGTCTTTCCTCTTTGAGTATATCGGTGAGATGGGCAAGGATTATATCTATGCTGTCACGCCGCTGCTTGAAGATGCACTCATGGATAGGTAAGTTAGCAAGGGTTTTTACAGATATGCACATCTATTAAGCAAATCCCTTTCCATTAGAAAGACCAAATTCAAGTTACCAAAGTCTCAAAGGTGTTTTGATCTATATTAGTATATATTAAAGTCACTGTAAATTTATCACATTCTAGAATCTCTTTTGAGAAATTATGTAAATCCTGTCATCTGTTGACTTTAGTGCAATATGTTATGACTATCCAGCATTCTTTGAGGGATTCTTAACTTCTTTGATTTACTTTAGGTGGATGATTTGATATTGGTATGACTTTGACTTTGACTTGGCAGTTTTCTCTCTTTCAGCTAATTGACCAGTTTACTATCATATTCAAATGTATTGATGTTTCTTTCCTAGGGACCTAGTGACGAGGTATTCCATGAACCTGTTATTAAAAGAATAAACAACACCACTTGGAATCCAGTCTGCATACATTACATATTGCTATGTCAGGCAAGCCTTGGGCAACTTTCTTTTAAACATTGTGAATTTGTTAGTAAACCGGTCTATTGGTGATGTCTTAAATCATTTGGCTTCTCAACTATGCAATATTCTCTAAAAAAATAAAATTAAAAAAAGTTCTCTAATGATTTGCAAAATGTCATATGTTCTCGCCCCCAGGACATTATTCAATTTTCAATTGTCTTTTATTACAGGGATCTTGTCCATCGACAGACGGCCTGTGCAGCCATCAAGCACATGTCACTCGGAGTCTTTGGCTTCGGGTGTGAGGATGCCCTCATACATCTCCTTAACTTCGTCTGGCCGAACATCTTTGAGACGTCGCCTCACGTCATCCAGGCCGTCATGGAGGCCATCGAAGGCCTCAGGGTTGGGGTCGGGTCCATCAAGATGCTGCAGTATGCATTACAGGTGAGACAGGATTTAACTGCAATCTTATTATTAAGGCCCCACTGCACTAATTATAGCTACTTGCACGCTCTATATATCAATCAGTGACCTTGCAGGGAGGTATAATCCCCCTGTCCAAACTAGTGCAGACGGGCTTTAAAGTGACTTGGTAACATTGTTGAAGGTTGATGAAAAAATTGTTTTATTGTACAAGTAGTGCAGTGGGTTCTTAACATGCAATGGTTGTGATTCTTCTCTACACGAAAGTCTCCATTTAATGTCCTATCCGAGGGACAAGAGTGTTTTCACTGTAGCATTCTGCTTCTATGTAACGGGGGAGTATGTATGTTTCTTTTCAACAGATGTAATTGAAATTGTTTTATTCTAACCAAATTCAAGTGCACCTTTGGTCACAATTTTGTTTGGGGGGTGTATTTTGTACATTTTGAAAATGCAAGGTAATAAAGAAACATTGCATGATGTTACAACATCCCATCTCTTCTTTCTTTCTTTCAGGGCCTGTTCCATCCAGCGCGTAAGGTACGAGACACGTACTGGAGGATATACAACACACTCTACATCGGTGCGCAAGACTCACTGGTCGCTGGCTTCCCCAGAGTACCCAATGATGAGAAGAACCAGTACCTTCGCTATGAACTAGATTATGTGCTTTGAGAAGAGATGACTTACCTATATATATCATGGACACTTGTAAAACAAAATATGAACTTAAAGCCCATCTGAACTAGTTTGGCCAGGAGAGATTAGACCTCCCTGCAAGGTCACTGACAGGTGGCTATTTCATTAACTCAGCTCTCAATTAACGAGAAAAAGAGGATCATGGGGGACCAACAGGCACCGCTTAGGCATTTTTTGCTATATAGAGGGCGCATGTAGCTACAAGTAGTACAGTGTGGCTTTAATCTGATGGACTTCTGTTAGTTGGACCTCTATGTATCATGTACCAGAATTTCAGATGCCGTACATTTATCTTCAATGTCAAGTGGCGTTCGACGATCGAGTATATAAACAGTGGAGCCTGTATATGAAGTTTGCTCAATGGAGATGATAAAGCATGGTCTTCGTAGGTGGGTGGTCTCAATGTTCAGGTTCCATTAGTACTGGTACATTTTTTATTGAGAAACTGTTTTAAAAGGGAAACAAAAGAATGTGGTCTTTACAGGCAGGTGGTCTTTTTAAACGGGTGTTCTCTATTGTCTGTACTTTACTTATGTAAAAAACTTTGATATCACATTTGTTATAATTGTATCAAACCATTTAGTCATCTGGTCATTTACACATGTACCCTCCTGGTATTATGATGTTATATCAAACCATCAAATTTTATATTACAACTGCTAAAGGGAACCCCCAAAAAATGTTATTTATATATTCAGGTTGGTTTTCTATATAGACCCCTTTTTCATTGAGAAATTGGAAAAGCGATGAATGCAGTCTTTGTAGACAGGTGGTTGCTACATATAACACAGGTAGAGTATGTACATGTACACTAGCAGATGTTGCCAATTACATTCAGCCCCTCAGTGTATGATAATTGAAACTTCATGGCATTCTTATTTGGAATTGTTGCAGAGCCTATTTTAATAGAGCAAGGGATATCAATGGCTTTTATAGTAACAAGCACAGTACATGTCACTGCAATCATGATTATTGCAGTCAATCAGGTTTCTGAACTTATACACAGTGTACATCCTGCCAAGTTTCGCTTGTCTATTCTAGTTTTCGTCATCTCTCTTTACAGTGAACTTCAATTCTTTGTGTGTCTTCCGATTTTGGTATCTGTAAGAAGATGACGATACAGTTGCATCATGTTTTGTGTTAGAGTGCAATCATTGAAATTTGAGTCATTTCCTCTCCATAAAGCCTAGTTCGAATATGATGCAGCAAAACCGCAGCGTTTAAAAAAATGATGAAATAAAGTGTAAATCGCTTCACATTTCTGTATCGTGTAACACAGGGCTCAGAAAAAAACTTGGGAAACCTTTGTTGCGCGCAGTTGTCATTCATTAATTCATGAACAAACAAAAAAACAGCGTTTTTATAATTTTTGGCGGTGGTTTCCTGTGTCATATCTGAACAAGCTTTTGATGGTCTGCGTTTTATGTGTATATAAAGGAAATGGGACTGGAAGAACTTGAAAGCTTAATGAAGATACATTGTACTCGTGTGGAACAAAAAAAAAGTACAAATTTTAATAACAAGGTCAAGTTCAAGTTCAAGTTCATTTATTCAAAACCACACAAAACATGATATAATCTGCATGATGCACACAACTTAAAGATAAACTTGAGTTCTGGTAAAAAAAGAAAATGAATTCTCACAGAATCTAACGAAACTTACACTGAATGTTCAAGATTACAAATAAATGTCATGTGCCAAATAATTTTGGAAGAAAATGTATACTGGCTGAGTAATGAGCATAGAAAGATGAGGAAATCAGGGTAGTACTAGCCCCAACACCATGTGTGTTGTCCCATATACATCTTTCTGTGTAAGTGATTGTTACTTTACCAAGACTCTGCCAAATTTATGATAATTTTGATGACTCCAGAACCTTGCATTACACACCATTACTTACATGCTATATGATCAACTTTTCTGATCCATTCCACACCTTTTCTTTCACAATGCAATCGCATTACCAGAACTCAAGTTTATCTTTAACAACAGAGAGAGAGAAAGAGAGAACGCCAATATAAAAAGTTTATGAATGAATTGCCCTAGAATTGATTGCTGGACAAATTATTGTTACAGATATGGGGACCAAGAAGAAAACCAACGGTCAAGAATGGGGTTCTTTGGGGGGGAAGTATTTGCAGGTGAAAGCAAATTTGGCTTTTGAAGTGTACAGAAATAAATTTTGATATTACTATTAAAGACTTGATGAAGTTGCGTTTGTTTTATTCCATAATGAAGATGTCCTTTACATGTTTCTCATCTGGTTATAACTGGATTTGCCTTGTACTCCCTTCCATGAGCTATTGAGAATAATATATGCACTCCTTACTGTTTTTGTCCTTTGTAACAACTATTGTTTAAATAAAAACAGCTATTTTCTATTAATTATGTTTCCATTGGGTAGTGTCGGTGTTGGAAAGTTTCAGTGGTATGCATATACTGAGTCAACACTTATTCTCTATGTTCAACTGCTGTAAGATCAGAATGTTTCACTACACAAAACTTTTGTACATTCATTTTGTAAACGAGAGCGATTTTTCATGGCAACTTATAGCGAAACACTTATGATTGTGTCGGTTGACTCAGTTGCTGTCCCAATCATTTCGCGGCAGGAAACTTTCTGTGAAGAAAATGTATGTATGGTTCAATTCTCGATCATTTCATGCATGCAAAAGTTTCTTGTTGTTTGGCAGTAATTCATTTGCATATGTTCAGGTATATACATATATAGCATATTTGACATTAATTGATTCACTACATGTATATGTATTTCTAAACTGGTGAGCCCCCATATTTTGCATTTTGATACACAAATCAAACATGTATTTTAATCCATCAGAAAATTGTCCAATTGTGTGATTCAGTGTACATGTATTGTAAATTCAGTTTGGTATCAACAATTAATGTGTCACTGCAATGTTTTGAGTATACATGTATATAAGATAACGGACATGTGATGTTGATTGTGTTGCTTTCCCCATGAGTCTTATGCTATCACATGTTGTATTAACTGATGGAAGAATAGAATTTAATATTACATGTATATGCTTGTCCTGGAGGTTCGATCACTGTGTTTCTGATAATTTTTTTTTTTCTGAAAAATAAATTTGTAAATACATGTACTACCACCGTGTTGTGTTCACTGTCTCATCTGTTCTCTAAACGAAAATCCAGCCTGCATAAATAATTATTTATTCTAAGAAAAGCAGAAAAGTCACAGAAGCAGACTGGTGAAAGTTTGAATGAAAGAATTTTTGAGTTTTTGTCCCTACCTGTACAAGCACTTTAATGGGCAATGAGATAATAAATCCCTCGGAATAAGTTGAGTTTTTCTTGGGGTGAGGTTTCCTTTAAAGGGATCGTTTAACAATGTTAATCTGAGATACACGGTCCTACATGTTACCAGTGTCTGTGATATGGTGTAATATTGAAGCCCTACAAAAATTAAACTTGAAAATGATCAAGAAGTGCCTCAAAAAGTAAAAATCTTTGAGTGACCGGTTTTACCATACTCGTTTTCCCTAATAGACTGTAGTGTTATGAAATTCGTTCAGCAAACGGTTTTCAAAATTTGTAATTCCAATCATTAATATCTTGATAATCAGACAGGCGATCGGCTTGTAAAAGTCATGGGGTTCCTGACTGACCTAAAGGTTTATAATTATCTTTGCAGCACGAGCTAAATCAATGATTATTTCTAAAGGATCTAAGACAAACTTACCGAATCCCTTTAAAAGAGGAGGTTGAGTTCTGGAGAGAGGTGGAAATTACTATGTGAGCGTTATCATCGTTATTATACAAGCGCGGAAGAACATCAGAGAAAAAAATTTCCCTGAAAAGCATGGCTCTTCAAATGCCTTCATATTCTAAATATGACACGTAACAGCTTAAAAATGAGGCCCGATTTTTATGCCACATGTTTGTGTAGTCCCATATACATCTTTCTGTGTACAGTGCTCGATACTGTACCAAGACTGCCAAATTTCTTATCATTTTGATGATTCCAGAACCCTGCAGTACAAACCAATACTTACGTGCTACATGATCAACCTTTTCTGATCTATTCCACGTTTCTTTCACGATGCAATCGCATAGCCAGAACTCAACTTTATCTTTAACATAGTACGTCACGTTATCAAGAAAATGATGATGCCCATGTCCTGCTGAGAGACTAGATTATGCTTGCATTATGCCTCGTACACTTTGGTGGGGAATCTTGTAGATTAATGGGCAAGAATATAATTAATCCCTCAGAAGAAGTAAAGTTTCCTTTAAGTAGTCATACTCGGTGTATTTAGAATAATCACTACCATAGTCATGGATGCGCTTCATAAATGTATAATGATATAACTTTCATGAGCACGTATCCAGTATGCATCTCTGGGATTTTACAAGTTTGGTACTAGTGACCTTTCCCTGCCTATACGTAGATTGCATCTACACCACCACGTAGTCAATTTTGCATCACATACACATCTTCCATCACTCGGCAGCATTCAATGTACATTAACATGTATGTCACGGACAATTATAAGGAGGGGAGAGGATGTAGGTACAGAGTCTGTTCTTTTCCTCAAATTAGACCTTTGCACAATGCTATGTTTTTCACTCACAATGGCCCAAATTCACAAAGGAGGTTTGTTGACAAACCTAGGTTTATGTGCATCATATGACGCATTATGACGCACATAAACCTAGGTTTGTCGACAAACCTTCTTTGTGAATTCGGCCATTGTCACACAAGAAAAAAAAATGCTCATTACGATAAAATAGGACATCTTCGAATCACCTCAAATTTATCAATATCTGGAATATTTCTCTTCTTTTTATTTCAAGAAGTTACTCCATAATAATGGAATACAAACATTCATAGTTGCAGTAGCAATTTACATGTTATCAATTTTTTCAAATTCTTTTGTTGAAAGAGTACCGCACCTTGTGAACATATTAGCATTAATATCTATAGATCGTGTACATTCAGACATACAAAATATGAACACATTGTTGATTTTAATGCCATACAAAAAAAAAAATCAATACAAAGGGCTCATTACCAATTAGTACTTTAACTGATTGAAAAGAGTCCATACAATACATTCTCATAGCTTCTCTTTAAATTTCCAAGGAAAATTGGCGCACAATGACTGTTGATTGTGCTTGCTATTTTTTTTTTACAACGTTTACAAATACTGTATATTTCATGTCCACTCCTAATATAATACACAACAGTCAAGTTTATCATGATTGGTCATCAAATTAGAAATACAAAACAAATTATAAAAATATTAAATGAGAAATATAAGTGACATAAATGTCAAATGATGATACAGGAAAGAAACAACCAAAGCCCAATCAAAGAATAAAATAATTCCTTGAAGTTAAAGGAAAGTGTAGACTGACAAATCTACTTCAAAAGTAGGAACACACTTTTGTAAAGTCTGTTGGAAAAAGAACAACAAACCGGTGAACCAATATTCACTTTCTTCACAAATATATTCATGGATTCATTAACAAATTCAGTAATAATGCAGCTCTTCACGTCTTAAACAGTGAGATAACCTTCAAAATATACTCCATCCTTTGGTCAAAATCATGCCCGCATCCTCACTGCTGCAATATTCTGCAAATTTGCACATTGCCATTCAAAGGTACATGAGGCAGTTATTTGAATTTTTTCTAGCTAAATTAGCCATTGAACATTCCTGAATAGAGCAGAACAGTATTCTCAACAAAGCTCAATTATGATATACATATAATTCACAAAGGCCAGGTTTCAATTTTTTTAACACCTTTTTAATTTCCCTGCAGAAAGATTTTCCTATACCTTCTAAACAGAAGTTCATTGAAGGCAGAACTTGTAGAGCATTTATGCTGTCCTACTTCTCTTACCTCAGTCATGCCCCCAGACCAACCCCAAATCTATTGATAACCAACAAAGAGTTTGGCCATTGAGGGTACTGTACTTTTGTTTGGTCCATTGACGGTCTGGTATCGGTCTCGTGGACATGACTGGGGCATCAGTGAATGCTTTGTCGGCTGCCCGCAAGACAGCTGTTACTGCCATTTATAGTTGTTATGCCCTTCTTACAGGCACTCAACTGATCACTACATCATCCTGGCTGGTCACATCTTGGCAAAACTCTAAAATCACATACATGTACATCTTCATTCATGGTGTTGTCATACATTCAAATAGTCCTCTCTTTATAATATATAAAATAATCATCCCTCTTTACATCCTCACTAGGAGGGTCTACGGTCCTCCTCACATCATGCCTCCCATACCGCCCATTCCTCCCATACCTCCCATGCCGCCCATGCCACCGCCGCCGCCCATTGGCATCTCCGGGGTCTCCTTGGGGGTCTCGGTGATGACGGCCTCGGCTGTCGTCAGGAGAGATGCGACGCCGGATGCATCCAGGAGCGCTGTCCTTACAACCTGCAGGAATCAAAGAAAGGAAAGAAAATCATTTAAAGTCTGTCTGCATTAGTTTAGCCACAAGGGATTAGACCTCCCTGCAAGGTCACTGACAGGTGGTTATCTCATCAAATCAGCTCTCAATCAACATAAGAAAAAGAGGATCATGGGGGACCAACGGGCACCGCTTAGGCATTGTTTGCTATATAGAGGGCGCAAGTAGCTACAAGTAGTACTGTGGGGATTTAAAGAAAACTCAGAGGCATACAACCCAGGAACAGTTACCTCACTCAACCATTTCAATATTATCCCCTGAACAACATTTGTATCCAGACCACTAATATTCAGGTCACCATCTTTTGGACAACTTCTCCTAGAAGTCTACACCTACTTATTGATCCGAGGATTGTTTTTGTCTATGGGAGTGGTGCTAATAGAGAAGGCTAGGAGCCGAGGGTTGTGGAACAGCATGACCGGGAGTGGTGCTAATAGAGAAGGCTAGGAGCCGAGGGTTGTGGAACAGCATGACCGGGAGTGGTGCTAATAGAGAAGGCTAGGAGCCGAGGGTTGTGGAACAGCATGACCGGGAGTGGTGCTAATAGAGAAGGCTAGGAGCCGAGGTTTGTGGAACAGCATGACCGGGAGTGGTGCTAATAGAGAAGGCTAGGAGCCGAGGGTTGTGGAACAGCATGGCCGCCATAGTCAATCGATATGGCACCCAGAGAGAAAGAGATATTCACACATGCTTACCTTAGTAGGATCAATGATACCAGCCTTGACCATATCAACAAACTCTCCTGTTAGAGCATTATAACCAATCTCTTCTGATGCTTCAATCACCTTCTCAACAATGAGGGAGCCCTCTACACCAGCGTTGTTAGCGATGGTCTGGGTTGGGATGCGGAGTGCTCTCCTGACGATCTCGATTCCTGCAGAAAGCATAAGAGATGAATTATATACAGACTACCCATCACACCGACTATAGACTACCCAAGCTGTGACATCATAAAGATCTATTATTAGAATTTCTCAATTTTTTCTTCATTTTCCAAAACTGCATAAAATATGTCGAAAACCAATTGAATATGTGAAGTATTGGCCGGGATATGACCATCGGGATATGAACTTCAAAATGATAGTGATACATAGTAAAATGTTTAGCAAACATTAACTATACAGCGCTTCAATGCCCTCTCATAAACATGGCCGTAGTCAGAGTTTAATGTTTGGGGGGGGGGGGGGGCACATACATGTAATTGATCAACGTCCTGGGGAGGGGTCTAAAATAGTTCAACCGATCTTGGAAATTTTGGGGGGGCACATGCCCCCCGTGCCCCCCGTGGCTACTCATAAAGTGGCAGCAGCCTACAGGCCAGGGCCCCATTTCATACAAACTTGTTATCAAGGACAAGTTACAATAATTGTTATAAGCTACTGAAATGTTGGCATTTGATTGGCTGAGAGCAAATTTGTCCTAGAAAGATAGCATTTGTTATTGATATAGCAAGTTCTATGAAACAGGGCCCAGTTTACTCTGTCTTGAAACAGATTCTGAATGAACCCACTACGATAATTTTCCATGGTTCCAATAACTGGCCTCTTTTCCTCTCTCTCCACTTACCAATCTTCTGGTCAGAGTTCTCTACTGGGATGTTGAGGAGAGATGTCAAGCACCTGATGAGAGCGGTTCCCCCACCAAGCACGATGCCTTCCTCCACAGCAGCCCTAGTGGCGTTCAGAGCATCTGTCACACGGTCCTTCTTCTCGTTCACCTCAATATCACTTGAACCTCCGACCTGCAAACACACACAGGGTGACAGACAGACAAAGAAACAGAACATAAGTTTCATCATCAAATTGACCTCAATTACATACATTGTATGCTCCAATAATTAAGTTAAAACATCACATTGGAAAGTGCAGGCTCCTCCAACGAAGTCAATAGTTTTACATTTGATAAAAGGGGATAAGTTTTGAGGCATGATTTTGAAGCGTTCTGGGCTTTAAATGTCACAAAGAGAGGAAGGGAGCAAGTTCCTCAAAAGAGGAGCAAGAAATGATAAGGTAGAGTCTTCATATCCTTTGAGATGTGTTGAAGGTACTTGAAGATTGAAACCAGATGTGCGCCAGGACAAAGATGGCGCTGTTCAATGAGGGGAGTCCAGGAACAAGATTTTCAGTTTGGATTATATTCAGTGAACTTACTATTTGACCAAATTGGAAAGAAATTTGGAACTATCGATTATGCCACTCATAGATAGATATGATACATGCATCATCCAAAATCTGGATCAGTAAAATTATACTGAAATATGTGGCCGAAAATCAGATTTCCAAAAATACGAACATAGCTATACACATAGAGAACTAAGTGAAGTGAGCTTGGGACAATAAATCTGATTTAATTACAGAATCAGTCTGTCATTTGGACGTTTAAATTGTACACAGGTGATCTTTCCTGTAAACCCTTCTCACCTTGAGTACTGCTACACCGTCAGAAAGCTTGGCAAGACGTTCGTTGAGCTTCTCTCTCTCGTACTCTGAGTTGGTGTTCTCCACCTGTTCTGCGATCTCAGCGACTCTTCTGTCTACATCCTCCTGCTTTCCCATACCCTGTAAACATCAAATACAAAATACAAGGGTGTTAAAGACCGTCACCACTACTTGGTAAGAAGGGATTAGACCACACAGCGAGCCATCGAGGTCACTGTGACAGGTGGCTATCTCATTAACTCAGCTCTCATCTAACATAAGAAAAAGAGGATCATGGGGGACCAACAGGCACCGATTGGGGAAGTTTTCTATATAGAGGGAGCAAGTAGCTACAAGTATGGCAGTGTGCCTTTAAAGTAACTCGGTAACATTGCCTCAGATTCTGAAACAAAATCCCGGTGTCCTTAGGTAAGGCATTAATCCTCATTCCAGAATCCCTCTGCTCTATAGTAAAATGAGCAATCAGTGCATTAACATTGGAGGCTCTAAACTTTTCCTGAATATTTTATTTTTCATTATCGTGTAGTCCCTTTGGATGGTTACTAATTCTTACCTTGAGGATAAGTGAATCATCCTTGGTGATAGCAATTATTCTTTGCGCTCTAGTAAAATGAGCAATCAGAGAATTAACATTGGAGGCTCAACACTTTTCCTGAAGATTCCATTTTCATTATCGTGCAGTCCTCTGGATGACTGCAAATGCTTACCTTGAGGATGAGCGTATCATCCTTGGTGATAGCGATCTCACCAACCTGACCTAGATCCTGGATCTGAAGCTCTTCAATCTTGACTTCCATAGCTTCATCACCAAATACCTGTCGAGAATAAATCATACATTCTTTAGATGGCACATATCAACATAACTCACAAATTAAAGATAAAGTAGAGTTCTGGTTATGCGATTGCATTGTGAAAGAAATGTTGTGGAATTGATCAGAATCTAGCATATAAGTATTGGTGTGTATGTACTGCACGGTTATGGAATCATCAAAAATATAAGGAATTTGGCCCAGTCTTAGTAAAGTTATAAGTACTTTACACAGAAAGATGTATATGGGATTACATGAACTTGTGGCATAAAAATCTGTCCTGATTTTTATAATGTTACATGTCATATTTAGAATATTAAGGCATTTGAAGAGCGATTCTTTTCAGGGAACGTTTTTTTATCTGATGTTCTTCCACACTTGCATAATACAATGATAACGCTCACAAATTATTTTTCACCTCTTCCCAGAACTCAACATTCTCTTTAAATACAATCTATCATTTCACCACCAGGCTGGCTGATCAAAAAATTATGGGTCTCCATAGTGTTACCTATTTCAGTTTATAAACACTTTTTAAATTCACTTGCTATAAACGGGACATGTATTTTCGACGTAAGATATATAATCATAATTCAAGCTTCCTTGTGCATGCCTTTCTGTACAGGTAATTAACAAAATGGAATTTATGGTGAAAACAAGGAATAAATTATTTACTCTGAGAGTAGAATACTTAAATGGAGTCACTCGTCAGTTTTCATGACATAATTTGCTGACACCAGACTTGGTGGATAATAAAAATCATTAACGTGTGTATAGGTATTAGGTCTGCACACAGCGAACCTGTTGGCCAATCAAGAAATACCCCCTCGTCTATCGAGAGTCTTCAGGTGTCGGAAAAGTGAGATAATGACTTTACCATGTGGGGGAATGGGTGAAAAACACAGTACGTTACATAAGGCCTGGTGGTCATAAAACTGAAGGCTAATTCTGGTGATTGAAAGCACCTCTTATTGAGTAAACACCCGATTGGTGTTGAATTCCCCATGAGAGCTAACTACTGAGTGTCTTTAAGTTCAGAAGGTTTACAAATGACTAGACAACCCTAGGTCATTTGGGAAAGTGCTGGTCTACCAGTTTGAACTGAATTTCCCCTTCAACTGATAACTGGACTGTCCGTGTTAGCCCAAGACAACGGGAGCGGATTACTTACGATTCCTCCTGTTGAGACGGCCATGTCATGAAGCTGGTTCTTCCTGTTATCACCGAACCCTGGTGCCTTGACTGCTGCAACCTGAAGACCAACCTTCAACCTGGAGATAGAAAATGAAGAAACAGGTTATACAGAGGAATTTCAAATTCAGATCTAGAATAAACAAAACATGCTGGATCCCTGTACCTAATAATGTGTAGTCTATCAAATGACTGGCTCACTGCTGGGATTTTACATTAGCAGAAACTTAACTGTTTAAAATAGTTTGATGTTGAGTTGATCTCTTCAGGTCTTCATGGTGAAGCAGTATTTGATGCAATTGATTTATATTGCAATAAAAATTTGATGTCGGAATAAAAGATACATTTTTAAAAGATAAATATATTCCTCTGATTGTTTTAACTCTGACTCTGATCTAGGGTGAGAATTATCATTGAAAATGTAATTAACCCGAATTGACACACATGCTAAAATCATCAACTTCGAGACACTTTTCTTACTCATAATCTTAACAAAGCAAGTGCCTTGTCTTACACAATGAAAATCATTATCCTGGGGGGTGTTTCACAAAGATCCCAAGTTGAACTCATCTCTAAGTTGGACTTAACAATTATGGAAAGCCATTAGCTTCCTAGATAATATTTTGTAAAAGTTATTTTAAAAGGCATAAAATGTTAATTCAAATCATTCATATTTTCTATTATCAAGGAGATTTCATGTTTTTAATGTGGAATTAATCAATAGTCTAAAATAATTGAAATTTCACTTTTGAATATATATCATTTAAGGCTACAAATGGCTCTCCATAATATTTTAGTCCAACTTAGAGTTAAGTTCGACTTAGAATCTTTGTGAAACACCCAGAATGTCCCGCCATGTTACCTGTTAAGAACCAATGTGCTGAGGGCTTCACCATCGACATCCTCAGCGATGATGACGAGAGGTTTCCTCTGGGCGTTGGCTAGCTCTAAGGCTGGGACGATGGCCTGGATGGTAGAGATCTTCTTCTCACTCAGGAGGAGGAGAGCATCCTGGAACTCAACCTTCTGACCTGTAGCAGAGAAGGATTGGTGAGGATGATTTACTGTTACACTCTGAGGGATCTTTTCAATTCTTTTTTTGGACACCAGGGCCCCCGTCTTACAAAGATTTGCGATTGATCCAAATCAATCGCAAATCCTCCAATCAATCGCAAGTTTACAGTCTCCTATCTCTTATGTACATAGTTGCGATTGATATAAATCCCAATAAGTTGTGATTGATATCAACTCTTTGTAAGACGGGGCCCAGATATCACATGACACTGAAACTTGTGATTGTAAGGAGCAGGTGAAATGACAGCTATTACATTATTGAGGTGAAAAAAAAATGCCAGTCCATGAAGAATTGTAAGTATTTCAGAGGTTTAAGAATTAAAACAAGGGAAACAAATGTAAATTACAAAGAGTAATGAAGCGCTTTTCCAAAGTTTCTTCCCCACTATCTCCTGGTATTACTCTGGGCTAAACACAGCAGACATATCTGCCAACCTTTCACAGTACAATATATCAAACTCTGAAGGAAAGATTAGGAATACAGTCTATTTTGCATAGTTATTACATAGATATTTTCAGAAAAATAGAGAAATCTAGGGTTCATGATATCAGTGTGAAGGCAAATTAAACATTAGAACCATTCCCCCAAAATAGGAGTGGTTGGCAGATGTGAGCAAAGTGTGAAGAAAAGAATTAGAATACAGACACAGGGGCTCACTCTCTTGGTCCATTTACGTAACAACCCATCCATCCGTCCTGACCCACAAAAAGCCCCAAACTGAGCGACGGTCAATACCTTTAGGCGAGTTGATGAAGTACGGTGAGATGTAACCTCGGTCAAACTTGAGACCCTCAATGACCTCTAGCTCATCATTCAACGTCTTGCCGTCCTTGACCGTGATGACGCCATGGCGACCAACCTTCTTCATCGCCCTGGAGATGAGCTCACCGATTCCTGCATCGCCGTTAGCCGAGATGGTAGCAACCTACAAAAGAAAAAAAATGGACCCGTTTGTTTTGGATTCCTCCTTTGTCATGAAGTCCACTTCCAATTATTTGGTAGTTATCAACATGCGTTTCTTTCCTATCCTTCCTGCCATTAGGTTTTCTTCAACCAACCCTGCAATAAAGCAGTACTTGTTCTAAGGAAACCACCCAAAGAATAAAGCCAGCAAAAATTATGACAGTTGTGAAAAGCAAAATTAGGAAAAGGGAACTTGGGACAATACATACAAGTAGAGGCAGTTCAACATGTAAATGGATGTAGGTTAATTATATGTTTTCTCTTTCTTCACCCAAATTTGACATACTACAGAAATGCTATACTTGACTGATAACTTCTTTTCATTTGAATTACTTCACTCTATGGTCTAGAGACAACTTTCATGATTTGATGAAAAAGTTGAACGTTCAACCTCTTTCTTTTATTTGCTATTTGTCAAGAATAAAAAATTTAATGAATTTCGAAAGCAGATGTGAATATTTTGAAGAAAAGATGAATCACCTGTGCAATTTCTTCTGGTGTTGTGACTGGCTTGGACTGTCTCTGTAACTCTTTGATGACCACATCGACAGCATTCATGATGCCTTTCCTGATTTCAGTGGGGTTTGCACCTCGGCTGATGTTGTCAAAGCCCTCCTTGGCGATGGCTCGTGCCAACACAGTTGCCGTTGTGGTTCCATCGCCGGCCTCCTCGTTTGTGTTGTTTGCAACGTCTTGGACAAGTTTAGCTCCAATGTTCTGCCATTTGTCTTTGAGTTCAATGGCCTTAGCGACTGTGACTCCGTCTTTGGTGATTTTAGGACTGCCCCAGCTCTGCTCTATAATTACATTACGTCCCTGTGAATGCAAGAAGGGATGAAGTGAATGCGGGGATGAAATGAGGATAGTGATAGATTCCGCAAACTCCAGTTACATGCTACGAACAAATGGTGCTCATTCAGGAGCTTAACTTCTTCTTTTTTTGGTGATCTGCAGGCATTACTTTAATATTATGTAATTCCTTCAACAACAAAATACTTTGGGTATTCTTTTGTTTGTTTTATTCCTTGTATTCCTGGAATGGAATGAATATACAATAAGTACCAGACCTTAATTTCATTTCAGGGCCTGTGTTACTGCTAGACCACTGAAGTGGCGATGCACTAATCCCTAACTTATCTGTCCCTAATTTCAGATGGCGAGAATGGGAATTATAAAAAAACAGTATGAAATATCTTAACTGGGCACTTCAAACTCTTTCCCTGGCTTGCATTTTTTTAAAGCTGCATCAACTCACCTTAGGTCCCATTGTGACTGCTACAGCATCAGCTAAGAGGTCGACGCCCTGAAGCATCATACCCCTGGCCTCTGCGCCAAACTTGATGTCCTTAGCATAGCTTCTGGCGAGATGTGGGCACACAGCTCTGCTTATTGAGGGTGTGAGTGCCCTTGAGGTGAGTGGCCTCAGTACGCTGGATATTCTATACATGTTTAATTTTATGTGCTGTAGTGGAGGAAAGAGAGCGAGTAAGAGAGAGAGAGAGAGATAGTTAGCCATTGCTTTTTACAGTAATATTTTTTAAAGAAACTATGCTCCTTCAATTTAATGTGCATCGTTGCCCAACACTGGCATGACAAGTCTACATGAAAATGATTCCCACATGCTTTAATTCAGTTGCTTCGGCCTAGAACATGGAAGTGAAAGATGAAATGCCAAATCATTTGCTTTTATCTGACTAAGGACCAAAGAAAGACAATGCCAATGAAGTATGAACTGACTGAACAAGGACTAAAAAGTAAAATGATAAACACTGATGTAGACTGTAGAGTTTATAAGGCAGGTAAATACACTGGAGTTTTTAAGTCAAATGAACTTGGAAAAGAAATAAGCAGAATTCATTGTTGGTGTTTAGTAATTCATTGGTTGTAGAACAGTAGATCTACATGAAGATCAGTAGATGCGCAATTTGTAGGATGTGCTATATTTGCTGTGACCAATGACCAGGCAACATAAAATCCCCTAAAAGCTGCCCTTTTACTTCAGAAACAAAAGGAAAAATTAATCAGTAATTGGCGCTGGTCCGAGAATAAGGATCGTCCGCACAAACAAGGATCAACTTCGTAAACACGTCCGTAAAAAAAAAAACTGATCCGCGTGTTGGCGACGAGAAAAACAGATTCCGCAATGATTTTCTTGATGCATTTTACATTGACTTTGCACAGAGACTTTCACGTTATGAGTGAAGAGTGATGAATCCTTGAGAATTAAGCAGGACAACCTATAAAAGTAGATGGTGAACTGGGGGTATCGTATCACATGGAATCCATTTTTCGCATCGGCAGCGCCCGGATCAAGAACCCGAAACTAGAGTCTAAAAAAAAACGCCAGTGAAAATGCGGACGATCATTATTTTTTAGGACGCATTTTGTCCTAGGACCAGCACCCCTTCTATTAATAGAACTTTTGAAAGGAAGGCAGTAGATCTACTTTATTTTGATAGTGTCTTTGCCTCAATGCTCGAAATCTGATTCTTGATTCCTTTTTCCTTTTCCTTTGTCATGTTTGTCATAAAAAAAAAAATCCTCGTCATAAACAGATCAATTTATTAATTTCATATTTTCACAAAAGACAGAATGGTGCAACCTAGACCGAATTTTCCGTCTCTTTCGTTCGTTAGCCTCTTATTGGGGTAGGGTCGGCTCTCTCTTTAGAGACGGAAGCCGTTTATGCACATGTCCTTGCTAACGCCACGGCCAGTTCTGGTCGTAGCGTTTTGCCCCCAAAATCCCCCAAAATGTCATTTTACCTCGAGCATGTTATATTGTAAATTAGGCCTAGGCTATAATAAATCAGTTCCACTTACCAACTTGACTGAAATAATCAGTTTAATAGTCCCTTTTTAGGAAATTATGGGTCAAAATCGGAATCCATGTTGATTTTCAACATGGATTCCGATTTTGACCCATAATTTCCTAAAAAGGGACTATTAAACTGATTATTTCAGTCAAGTTGGTAAGTGGAACTGATTTATTATAGCCTAGGCCTAATTTACAATATAACATGCTCGAGGTAAAATGACATTTTGGGGGATTTTGGGGGCAAAACGCTACGACCAGAACTGGCCGTGGCGTTAGCAAGGACATGTGCATAAACGGCTTCCGTCTCTAAAGAGAGAGCCGACCCTACCCCAATAAGAGGCTAACGAACGAAAGAGACGGAAAATTCGGTCTAGGTGCAACCCTGACCATGACAAAATTTGGCCCCTAATAAAACAATGGTGATATATTCATTCACACATAAATTTTAAAGTCTCAATTTCATGATCACAGGAAATATTTTTAACTTTTCACTCTTCACTCGCGCTCGCAAGCGAAGCTCAGCTGCACTCGAGTTTCACACACATTCGACTAAATTTTATTGACGATCGACATGTCAATGCTCTCTCTAGATCTAATTTGAATCTTTTAAGTTCATATCGAGCATCTTTTCATACTCAAAACGTCTTTAGGCTTAAACAGATTGACATAATACCTGAAATGTTGTATTTACTTACGTTTTATAGGGAGAATGTGTGAATTTTAGTGAAGTAATACCACCAGTTCTTTTGGGGTAGGTCCGGGAGAGTTACGGCTGAGCACAGTGACGAAATAGCGCTACCGGCTACACGTGTTTTGTGTAATCTCTAAATTTCGCACGTGCTGCACGGGCAGAGCGTCGCACGCGCGGACATTGCATAATCAAGGGTATTTAAAAAAAATGCAGGGCCCCTCCCCCTGCATAAAAATATATCTCTCATGGAATATAGATTTATGTCAAATTTCCAGGATGGGATGAGAAGAGTTAATAAAAATATGCCATGGTATGGATGAAGGAGAACTTTTGTTGATATTTCTTGTTCATGAAGTTATGAAAGTGAAAGAAAAGTCTTCCATCGAACATTATACACAGTGCAGGGCCGTGCTCGAGCGTTCGTTGGTTATACAATCGATTAGTACATCTGCATTGGATGGTTAGACTCTATTTAGCCGTTTATTTAAAATAATGTCACAAGGCACAATAAGGACGGATGCAAACAAAGAATTCCTAGATAATGTTCGAGTTCAATTAAGACAAGTTCAATTATGTTTAATTCCTATATATTCATATAAACTTACAAATCTGAGCAGATTCAATACATGGCATCAATGGTACCAGAGACCTAGGCGGTCTTGTGAGAGGCGGCATTTTTCAAGCACCCGAAAGTGCCCCTTTTTACATAGGAAAAGTGCTCCTCTTTACATAAGATTAGTGCCCCTTCCCCATTTCACCTTTGATAAATGACCTTTTATTTTCACACGTGTCCCTTTTCCTTCGACAAGTTCCCATTTTTCTTTGCAAAAAGTGTCCATTTCCATTCTCATAAGTGCCCTTCTTAATCTCTATATTAAGTGCCCCTTTTCATGTACGAGAAGTGCCCTTTTTCACTTTTGATTAGTGCCCCCTTCACCTTTGATAATTGCCCCATTTAAATCTGAGAGTTGCCTCTTTTACTACGGTGACAAATGCCTCTTTTCCTTTGTAAGAAGTTCCCCTTCCCCTTTTAATGACTACCCCATTCTAACTCGGATAAGCGCACCTTACATTTTCACATGTGCCCCTTTACCTTTCTAATAAGTGCCCCATTTCCTAATGAAAAGTGCCCCATTAAAAAAGAGCCCGATCCCCTTCTCATAAATGCCCCTCATTTTCATCTCTGGTAAATGACCCTTTTCAAAAGGGTTGGATCTGATATCATTAATAGTATTAATGATATCAGATCCATGAAAAAATATACAGAAGAGTCTTTCAATCTTCAACTATCTGTTGTTGATTGGTCACGAATAACTGACTGTACAGATGTAAATGAGGCATGGTCAATATTTCAACATGTTTTTATCTCAAATTTGAATATGATAGCGCCACTGAAACGGATAAGAATAAAACAAAGATCAGAAACTTGGGTGACTAAAGATATTCTTTCCCTAATTCAAGAGAGAAATATAGTATACAAAAATGGAGGAAAAGAGCAAAAGATGAGAAGCTCTATAAAAGATACAGAGTATTAAGAAATATGGTCCAAAGAGAGGTGAAAAAGGCTAAACTCGTTTACTTACAAAACAAGATAGAAGAAAATAAACAAGATTCGAAAAAACTTTGGCAGAATCTAAAAAGCTTAGGATTGAAAAATAAGAAGCGAAAAGAACAAGAATCTGTCATTAAAATTGATGGGGAATTATGTCATGATAAGATGGCCATCGCTGATGAATTCAATTCTCACTTCACAAATGTGGCTGCCAAATTATTAGACAAACTCCCCCCTTCCAAAGACTTTTTCAGCGCAGACAATGATTGTATTCGTGACTTTTACGAAAGAAAAGGTGTACGTGAAAACAGCTTCGAGTTATTACCAATCAGTGAACAATTTGTTTTCAAAGAGTTACGTAAGTTGAATGTATCAAAAAGTACTGGGTTAGACTTGATTCCAGCTAAATTTCTAAAAGATGGTGCGAAGGTTTTATTTAAGCCTCTAAGTTACTTAATGAATCTATCTATCTTGACGAGTACTTTTCCAGAGGATATGAAAATAGCAAAAGTGACTCCACTTTATAAAAAGAAAGATAAAACTGATGTTAGCAACTATAGACCTATTAGTGTTTTAAGCGTAGCATCAAAGATTCTAGAAAAATCGGTCTGTGTTCAAATTGAAAGATACTTCAAAGAAAATGATATAATTTATGAATTTCAATCTGGTTTTCGACATGATTATTCGACTGAAACATGTCTAATTCATTTGACTGATTATTTGAGGAGAGAAACTTCCCAAGGGCGCTTTGTTGGTATGGTGCTCCTTGATCTGCAAAAAGCTTTTGATACAGTTAATCATTGCGTCTTATTGAAGAAGTTACAACTAATGGGTTTTGATAAGGCAAGTTTAGATTGGTTTAGATCCTACTTATCTAATCGGCACCAAGTAGTGGCCATTCATGATATTCGTTCCAAACTAATGCCTATAACTTGCGGTGTTCCTCAGGGAAGCATTTTAGGCCCAATTCTATTTTCAAGTTATATAAATGATATGTGTATTTGTATAAAAGACTTCAAACTATTATTGTACGCAGATGACAGCGTACTACTCTATTCAAATCCTGATCCTAAATATATTGAGGAAAAGCTCAGTGAACAGCTGTCTACGTGTGTCGATTGGATGACTGATAATAAGCTTTCTTTACACTTGGGAAAAACAGAAAGCATTTTATTTTGTTCTAAAAGTAGTTCTAAAAAGTCATTTGAATTCAAAGTGACACACAATAATCAAGCAATCAAGAGAAGTATTTAGGCATTGAGTTGGCTAGCGCAATTTCATTTTCATCTTTAGTAGAATCAGTTGTAAAAAAAGCAAATTCTCGTCTGAAATTTTTGTACAGATATCAAAGTTGTATGGATTTAAAAGCAAGACGTACACTCTGTTTTGCTCTTATTCAATGTTTATTTGACTATATGCTAACCCTGCATGGTATAGTAACATAAACAAGTCAGATCAAAAGAAGTTGAAGATTATACAGAACAAAATGGTGAGATTTATCAACTGTTCTGGTCCAAGAACTCATGTTGGCTACAGCGAACTTTCTAAAGCTGGTTTTCTTGAAGTCGACCAAAGATCAAAACAACTCGTATTGCATCATGTGCATAAAATATATCATACTAGGTCGAATCATTATATTCGATCCAACTTCGATCTTGTTACTGACGTACATGATTATAATACAAGAAATAGACGATTCAACTTTAACTTACCAGAAAGAGTAGGTAGTATTGGAAATTCGTTTTATTACAATGCCATAAAACATTGGAATTCCCTTCCCAATGGTGTAAAAGAAATAGGAAACTATGATCATTTTAAGAGGAAATTAAAGGAATACCTAATACTTGACAGTCAGACAAGAGAAGTGAATGACATGTTATATGATTGAAATTTTTATTCTTCTGTCGGTTCATACTTTTTCATGTTGTATATACTTATGTTTTTGTACGTTATAGAAATTCTACAAATTCATCATTATTTTCCTCTTCTTCCTTCTCCTCTTTTTCTTCTTCTCCTTCTTCTTTTTCTTCTTGTACTTAATATCATTTCTATCATCAGTTTAATGTTGTTATTATTATTATTATCTTTAATAAGTAGTTCTTTTAATTTTCTTATCTGTCTGTAAATATTACTATCTTAACTTATTAATTTTATACATGTCTGTAAGGGACCCCACTGGAAATAAGCTCTCGAGCTTTCGTGGGTTATCCTGTTCAAGCTGACTTTTTTTTATCTGTTATTATTGTATATTGTTGTATGTTGGAAGCTTGTCGAATAAAAATCAATCAATTTTCAGGTACGAGGAGTTACTCATTTTCACTTCAGATAAGTGCCCCTTCACCTCCGATGAATGCCCCTTTAAAATCTGATCGGTGCCCATTTTCTTGCAACAAATGCACAATTTCCTTTATTATAAGTGCCCCTTTTCATATCTGGTCGTTGCCCAATTTCAGGTGCGATAAGTGCCTCTTTTCACCTCTGATAATTTCCCTTTTAGCAATGATACATGCCCATTTTCCTTTTCTAATACGGGACCTATCTACTTTTCATAAATGCCCTTTTCACCTCTTATAAATGTCTCTATCAAATTCTGATGGCACATGCTCCTTTTCTTTTCTGATAAGTGTCTCCTTTTCCTCTCATCATTAAACGCGCCTCTAATTTCACGCGACTAAGAGCAATTTCCACCAAAGCTCGCTCGCTACGCTTATGAGAATGTGCTTAAAATATAACCCCATCGGGATTGGGGTTTTTCCTCATTATACGATGTAATTTTTCGCACTACGACCTCACAAATCTTAAACTTTTTCCTCGTTCGCTTCGCTCACTCGCAAATAAATTTTCAGACCATCACGCCCAGCCGTAAAGTATGATGCTTAAGCAAGGTATGGTGTTTAAAATGAAATATATATTAAAACCATCCCTGATAATGTAATCACAATGTAGGGGTATTTACCAATGTCTAAACAAATGGTATATTTTCGCTTTCGGAGATTTCCCTTTGTATGTGCCCTTTTTTTTTTTTTTCCAGAAAGTGCCCTTTTTTCTTGGTGCCCCCCCCCCCCACTTTGGATGTCGCTCGGCCGCCCCTGTGTCTTGTCAAGTTAGGCCCTTTCGGATCGAAAGCTGGAATGCATTATTTCAATTCTGTTATATGTTGAGAAATATGAAACTCATTTTGTTTAAAGTGTTCAGTCTATTTCTGAAGAAAAAAAAATCAATGCTTGTTCTAGATTTTGGGATGTGCGGTATCCATGTCCTATTATGTGATTGTATAGCCCTACATTGTGACATTATGAACACATGACTGTCGTATTTATGTTCGTAGGCTTATAATGATAAAAACGCTTTGTTACAATGTTGCAGTTTTGTATAAACTATGTTATGCACGAAAAGAATTGGAGTTTTGAGAAATCAATGAATACAAAAAGAAAGAGAAAAACTGGAGGCCGAGCGAGATCGGATCATACTGTACATTCAGTTATATGAATATGGCAGAAAAAAAGCCCCAAACAGACCCAGCATTGCCAGCAAGGTGGAAAGATTTAAAGATGCAATACATATAAATTATATATACGGGTGA